TAAATAATCACAAAACATCTTTCACCAACATATCAATCCATTATTCACAATTCACCAAATCACCAATTTACACACAAACATATTTCATATATCAATGACATTTATGCTATGTGACTCAATCACAACTCAATGCAACTCAATGCTATGTGGTACAAACACTCGTTATCATTTTTCGGTTTTTACACTTAAACCGGGTCCACCCTTCTAGACCGATAACAACAAAGCCCGTCCCCTAGGCTTTCAAACCCAACCTTCTATGTTTGGGACAAGCCACTAGTCTCCACGAAACTAGTAGACATTGCCTCTTGACTAAATGATGCATATGCAATCAACAACAAATGCACTTAAGACCGATCACACGTCTTAATCCCATGCATTCACATAATTCCTCCCTTCAAGAATTAAAATAAGATTGCACACACAACATATTCATATAATCAAGTATTCATACTTTTAATCAGCATATTTGTCAAACAATGCACGCATACCTGACAATATGCTCCCATGCATTATTCACACATCATCGCATACAACATTATGCATTCACAATTCAATACCATTTTATTTCAAATAATGCACACATATATTCATCATATGTTCCCATGCATCATTCATAACATCGTGCCAACGAAAACATATTCAACCATAATCATCAACTTGCATTTTTAACCAATTTAAACAATGCACTATATATGCCAAACGACCATATTTCATAACAATCAAAGTATTCATAAATCAATATTATCACTACATTACCAATCAATGCACGCATATCCATTACTATGCTCTCATGCATCCTTCACATATAATCGCATACAACACGTATGTATACACAATATCATGCCAACGACAATCAACCTCATTACATATCATCATGCATTCTTATTCAAATTAAACAATGCATTTATAATTGTCAAAAGACCACATTTCACAATAAGTTCATAATCTAGGATTCACGCCATACGGCTACCCACAACACATATATAACAACATATAACTTTTCATTCCATTAAGAATCGAACCCGATCGAACCACAACACAACATGGAATGAAATCACAGAAAAACAAAATGATGTCATGTTCGCTACTGCCTTGCCTAGTGTCGCTGCTCGAAAAATGCATCGCACAACGACGGGGAGGCGAAAAAGATAGACAGAAGAGTCGCCACCAAATTTTATTTATCCCATGAGGGGAAAGGAAAATATCGAGAAAACCTTAGGAAAGAAATGGATAAGATGGTCTCGCAACCAAGAACGGGTTCGGAAGCCGGTTATGCGAAGGGAAGGTATTAGCACCCCTCGCATCCATCGTACTCGATGGGAACCTTTTGTTTGTCGATGTGTGAATTTATTTGCTTAAATATTATGCTATAAAATAGTGTTCCAAAGGGAGAGAGAAGGGTTTAGAAACAGGGAAAAGAGAGATAACGGGGGAAGAAGAGAAAGAATGAACTCGGTAGGACTTCGCGGTCCTAGGCCTACGTATTCTCAATAGATGTGAGAAAGTCAGAGTCGACGTAGTTCGGGGAACTACAGATATGGGGGGAAAGTGCTCGGCAAGGATTGTGGCCCTTGTGCCTACGTATCTTTACTTGAGAAAGTAAAGAATCAGAGCAGCCGTAGTTCGGCCTACGGTGTGCGGGGGGAGTTCTGGTAGACGATGCTATCGTGCACATTCTAGCAGTTTAGGTGTATTGCTGCTCGCTCGTTGGAGACTTAGGCGTTACCTGTTTGCGGTAGAACGGACGTAGCATGCCTTTCTGGGAAAGGGTGAAAAAGAAAAAGGGTGCTCGCTAGGATATTGCAATCCTATGCCTACGTATTCTCAACATGCAAGAGAAATCAGAGCAACGTAATTCGTGCTTACAGTGCGGATAACCGGTGTGTTTGTGTGGATGATGTTATCGTGCGCGTTCTAGCATTTTAGGTGTTTTGCTGCTCGCATGTGAGGAGACTTATGCGTACCTGTTTGCGGTAGAACGGACGTAACATATCCTGTTTGAAAGGTTGGTTTTCGCCATGCGAGGCAAGGTATCATGTTTGATTGGTTGAGATTGTTTTTGGGGCGAGATAGGTCCTCGGATAGTAACCCCTACGGGTAGTACCCAATTCGTTATCTCAAAGTTTTTTGTTATAAAAAGGTGTGGCGAACGAGGCGTCTTCGTATTGAAAGACGAGCGTCGAAACCACCCTCACTACAGTGGGCATCCCAACGCTCGGAGAAGAAGAGGTCTACACCCAATCCTCTCTCTTTAATTCAATACAAAGGGAACTTCGTTCTCTTATTAGAAATGTTTTTGGTTTTGAATGGTAAGTGCTTTGCGACAGAGAACCCTACGGTAAACGTCAGCACTCGGGATAGGAGAAGGCATACGCCTAACCACTCCACGACCATTCAAGTTTTTGTTATGAAAATAAGTTTGAAAATGCACTCGGTACGGGACCGAGGTTTTAGGTGACAAGGGTTGCGGGATGAAGTTGTGAAAAGGAGAGGTGGTGGATAGAGGCGCGTCTTCGTATTGAAAGACGAATATCGAGACCACCCTCACTACAGTGGGCATCCCAACATTCGGAGAGGAAGAGGTTTACACCCAATCCTCTCTCTTTAATTCAATACAAAGAGAAATCAATTTATTATGGTTTGAAAATGGACTCGGTACGAGACCGAGGTTTTTTGAAAATGCACTCGGTGCGGAGCCGAGGTTTTAGGAGGAAAAGGGGTGGAAGCGTCTTCGTATTGAAAGACGAGTGTCGAAACCACCCTCACTACAGTGGGCATCCCAACACTCGAAGAAGAAGAGGTCTACACCCAATCCTCTCGTTTAGTTCAATACAAAGATGATTTGATTTTGAAGATTGTTTGACAAGGTTTTTGAATCGAGTCGGGACAAGTAATGAAGAGAAAAAAGAGGTGGTCTCAGATCCAACATTACTCATCAATAATTTGACTGGTAATGAATTACGGAGGTCTCGTCATCGACCAAAACAGATGAAAATGGGATAAAAATCCCAATAACAAATGCGAAATAAAATTACCTCTAAAATAAAAATGCTATTAGAATTTTAAATAAGAAATGTTAAGAAATTTAATAAAGCTCTAAATAGAAAAGATTAAGAAAATAAGACTCTAAAAATCTAAAACTAAAATAATATTACATAAAATAATAATGTACATAGTATATTTACAAAATAGATATTAAAAGCATAAATATAATAAATATAATAATAATATTTACAAAAATAAAAATAAAACAGAGGGGTGTTAGAGATAGAATAGGGGGAATATGAGAGAGATATGAGGCAATGGGTCTCACAGCCCAATATCAGTCCACGATAAAAAAGAAAAGAAGAAATAAATTTAAAAAAAAAGGTCCAACATCAGGTCAACACCATCATCCCTAAAACGGTTAGTTGCTTCCAATTTTCGTTTCTGGTTCTCACACTCAAACCATTCCATTCTCGATTCAGACTCAGGTTGGGTTTATCTTTCTCAATCTCTGTTTCTGAATCACTTTTAAGCCTTAGGTTTGATGTTGTAGGTTCATTTCGTGTGGTTTTCTAAAGGGGTTTTAATGGCGGTGTTTGTTTCGAGCTTATGGGTTATGAATGCGGAAGTTTTATGGTGAAGGAAATGGGGATGAAGGTTTTGTCAAGGTGGAAGAAGAAAAACAGTAGGTGGAAAATCTAGGTCGTGGTTTCAGTTTGTGAATCGAGGATGTTAAGCTTCGTGAGATTTTGAAGTCCTGAGGGTAAAGTGTTGAGGTTGTTGTTGGAAGGAGTTTGAAGCTTGAAGGAGGTTGAGGATGGAAGAACTGAAGGTTTTGTATGATGAACTGTTTGAAGAGTTAGAAAATGATGATGAAGCCGTGTGACTTGTTTTTTTTAGGTGAGAATTACAATTTTCTGGCTTATAGAGGAGATTATTTTGTTGGTGATTTTGAACTGGCCTTGAATCTGTTTGAGTGAAGGAGTTTGAATGAAGGTTTGAGGATGGAAGAACTGAAGGTTTTTCAGAAAGGGATTGGTGTTAGTTGTTGTTCAATATCTGGGAAGTTTTTGTTTCTTTACTCAACAAAAAAATGTGAAGTTGTGAGCGTTCTTTTTTCATGGTATGTTGGTTGTTTTTCTGTCTATATGTTGAAGATTCAATCAAGTTTTTGGTTTACCGCAGGTTTGTGTTTGCTATTGGGCAGTGTGTTGTTTATGATGCAGAGTTGTACAGCTTGTGTAGAGCCTGTCTGGCATGGCTTGTAGGTTTTGCAGAGTGATACAGAGAAATGGAAAGTTGCAGAAGGAGGGGCGAATTTCAGGAACTTGCTTGCACCATTTGGGAAATTTCGCAGGTATTGTCTGGTGTGTTTATGAAGTAGTAGCAAAGATGTTGTTTGGTAGTAGTGGCAGAGCTTGTCTGGTGTGGGTTTTCCTGCGGTTTGTACCGGCCATAGCAGGTAATGCCAACTGTGAGGTTTTGGCTGTACTGCTTTTATTTTGACTGCACAATTACCTGATTTTTTCTTTATTCTTAACAGGGCCATAATGACAATGTTGTTTACAGGTCTTACCATGACGTATGAGAAAATGCCGAAACGGTTTTGCGAGGAGTGCGCTGTACGACCGAATTACTTTGGAATTATGGGGTCGGATGGCATGAACATTGCAGCAGCAACTCATTATGAGAAGTGTGATGAGACGGCGTGGACTGCTGTTGATACGGCATGCGTTTCGTATGGTGGTATGGGCTGAATTTTGTACAGGCTATATGAAGTTGCAGTTGATACATTTGCATTAAGACCAAGTAGCAGTTGTACACAATCGAAATACCCGTTCAATGCGGCCATGTGAAGTGCGGTAATACTAGCATCAGCCGTCTTGTTTACAAACTTGGACAATGTACTTTGTTCGTTTTTCCTTTTCGTATTTGATCCATCTCCCACGTCAGCATCCACACTAGCATGCAGAGTTTCATAATGAGCGCTTGGAACGAAGTCAGCCATGACAAGTCTAACGCATCAAACATGCCCAATGACAGCGACAAAAGTGAAGAGCTGTCCTCCCACTGAGATAATCTGCTTTCATAACATTGCATCTGTAGAGCACAAGGGCCTGTACAACTTCCCAATGACCATGTCTATAAGCTTGCATTAAGGCTGTATGCCCACAATAATTTCTTGAATTCCCATCTGCTCCCTTCTCAAGAAACAATGCCACAATCTCGTTATGACCCTTGGAAGCAGCAAAATGAAGAGGTAAGTTAAGACCAACAAAGGTTGAATATTCGGCAAGACTAGGATTGAATTCCAAAAGCATCTTTGCTTCAACCAAATCACCATCCCTGGCCGCAGATACCAATCTCTCGCCAGAAGCTGAACACCCAAAAGAATTTCCCATCTGTGATGAAATCTGCGTTTTATCACCTCTGCGAGGGGTTTGCGGAATTACGGTGATGGCTGGTTTTGTTGGTACAGTTCTGTGTGGGGCTGGTTTAACAGAGTATGTTTGTGTAACAGAGTGCAGCAGGCCTAAGGTGAAGAGTGTAGCAGGGACGGTTTGTGCAGAGTATTGTCTGGTGGTGTAGGTTGTAGCAGCTGGTTTACAGTTTTGCCAAAGTGATTTATGTTGCGGTTGATTTTTACGGGTGAGGCGTGGTGATAGCCTGGACGTAATAATACAAGCTTGTCCTTTTTTTGCAGGGTATGTTGTGATGCGGTATGCGATGTGAAGGCATGTGCTGAAGGTGACAAGGAGGTAGCCTTGTGTTCATTGAGGTGAAGTTAAAGGCAGCTGATAGTTTTTGAATTGTACGCGGGCTATGGTGGATTTCGGTACGCGCGGTACGGTGTTGGGAAGCTGTCATTTCTCTTCACTTTCTTGCAAGTTTTGATTTCTTTTTCTTTGTGTAAAGTGATGAAAATTATGGCCTTGTTTTGTATGGTTTTGCAGGATGGTATTGGTTACTAGAAACAAATTGTACTTTTAAAAACAAATATGGGCTTGATAAAGATGAAATGGACTTCAATGCTATTAATACACCCTCCATATTTACTTTGACCAATTCTTGAACTTTGACTTTCATGTGTAGTAAAAGAAAAAAAAATTCTTTCATTTTAAAAACATAAGTCCTTCTTGAATCTTGAACAATCAGACTATTGAACCTTGAATAGTCTCTTAATCAATCTTGAAATTTGTTGTTAACAAGCGAAGAGCCAAAACCTTCATCATGAACTTCTTGCTTGTGCCTTAAAGTGACTCATGTCAAATAGCTTGAACCACGACTTAATCATAACATCTTGATAATTCAACCATAATAACATGACTTACACTTCTCTTATCTTCCATAAAGGCTTATGACCCATTTGAACACAAACCAATAAAACTCCCCGACATAAAAATAGAGGATTATGGCTCAGGGCCAAATGATCGCTTAGAGAACGAGCACCAAGCAACCATCATTCGTGATGAAAAGAAAGGTAGGACAAATTAGGGGTATGACAGATGCCCCTATCTAATTGACTTAGACCGAGTAAGATGAAATGTTGCAGCGTTCATTCTTTCGAGGTAGAAGACAATTAGATATAAAGAAGACCCTGAACTTGTCCGAAAAGGAAAGGAAATCTTGGGAACTGAAAATGATGGATGAAGTACCTCTGAGTAGACTGTAAATAACTGGCAAAAGGTCATCATCACCAAAAGGATGATGAGGCGAAACACACAAGGCTACTACCACCAAAAGGATGGTAAAGCAAACACCATCGCACAATCTGACATTAATCCAAGTGACAGACCCCCCACCAAAAGGATAGTGGAAAACACGCTAGTCATGACATCAAAAGGATATCAGACCCATCACCAAAAAGGATGATGAGCGAAACAAAATCAAACCTGACACCCAAAAGGATGTAAGGGGATAAGCTTCTCTGAAGAGATTGCCACTTATCGCTGAAGACGGATAAGCTTCTCTGAAGAGATTGCCACTTATCACTGAAGATGGATAAGCTTCTCTGAAGAGATTGCCACTTATCGCTGAAGACGGATAAGCTTCTCCCAAGAGATTGCCACTTATCACTGAAGATGGATAAGCTTCTCTGAAGAGATTGCCACTTATCACTGAAGATGGATAAGCTTCTCTGAAGAGATTGCCACTTATCACTGAAGATGGATAAGCTTCTCTGAAGAGATTGCCACTTATCGCTGAAGATGGATAAGCTTCTCTGAAGAGATTGCCACTTATCACTGAAGATGGATAAGCTTCTCTGAAGAGATTGCCAATTATCACTGAAGATGGATAAGCTTCTCTGAAGAGATTGCCACTTATCGCTGAAGACGGATAAGCTTCTCCCAAGAGATTACCACTTATTACTGAAGATGGATAAGCTTCTCTGAAGAGATTGCCACTTATCGCTGAAGATGGATAAGCTTCTCTGAAGAGATTGCCACTTATCACTGAAGATGGATAAGCTTCTCTGAAGAGATTGCCACTTATCGCTGAAGACGGATAAGCTTCTCCCAAGAGATTGCCACTTATCACTGAAGATGGATAAGCTTCTCTGAAGAGATTGCCACTTATCGCTGAAGACGGATAAGCTTCTCCCAAGAGATTGCCACTTATCACTGAAGATGGATAAGCTTCTCTGAAGAGATTGCCACTTATCGCTGAAGATGGATAAGCTTCTCTGAAGAGATTGCCACTTATCACTGAAGATGGATAAGCTTCTCTGAAGAGATTGCCACTTATCGCTGAAGACGGATAAGCTTCTCCCAAGAGATTGCCACTTATCACTGAAGATGGATAAGCTTCTCTGAAGAGATTGCCACTTATCGCTGAAGATGGATAAGCTTCTCTGAAGAGATTTCCACTTATCACTGAAGATGGATAAGCTTCTCTGAAGAGATTGCCAGTTATCGCTGAAGACGGATAAGCTTCTCCCAAGAGATTGCCAATTATCACTGAAGATGGATAAGCTTCTCTGAAGAGATTGCCACTTATCGCTGAAGACGGATAAGCTTCTCCCAAGAGATTTCCACTTATCACTGAAGATGGATAAGCTTCTCTGAAGAGATTGCCACTTATCACTGAAGATGGATAAGCTTCTCCCAAGAGATTGCCACTTATCACTGAAGATGGATAAGCTTCTCTGAAGAGATTGCCACTTATCGCTGAAGATGGATAAGCTTCTCTGAAGAGATTGCCACTTATCACTGAAGATGGATAAGCTTCTCTGAAGAGATTGCCACTTATCGCTGAAGACGGATAAGCTTCTCCCAAGAGATTGCCACTTATCACTGAAGATGGATAAGCTTCTCTGAAGAGATTGCCACTTATCGCTGAAGATGGATAAGCTTCTCTGAAGAGATTGCCACTTATCACTGAAGATGGATAAGCTTCTCTGAAGAGATTGCCACTTATCACTGAAGATGGATAAGCTTCTCTGAAGAGATTGCCACTTATCGCTGAAGATGGATAAGCTTCTCTGAAGAGATTGCCACTTATCACTGAAGATGGATAAGCTTCTCTGAAGAGATTGCCAATTATCACTGAAGATGGATAAGCTTCTCTGAAGAGATTGCCACTTATCGCTGAAGACGGATAAGCTTCTCCCAAGAGATTACCACTTATTACTGAAGATGGATAAGCTTCTCTGAAGAGATTGCCACTTATCGCTGAAGATGGATAAGCTTCTCTGAAGAGATTGCCACTTATCACTGAAGATGGATAAGCTTCTCTGAAGAGATTGCCACTTATCGCTGAAGACGGATAAGCTTCTCCCAAGAGATTGCCACTTATCACTGAAGATGGATAAGCTTCTCTGAAGAGATTGCCACTTATCGCTGAAGACGGATAAGCTTCTCCCAAGAGATTGCCACTTATCACTGAAGATGGATAAGCTTCTCTGAAGAGATTGCCACTTATCGCTGAAGATGGATAAGCTTCTCTGAAGAGATTGCCACTTATCACTGAAGATGGATAAGCTTCTCTGAAGAGATTGCCACTTATCGCTGAAGACGGATAAGCTTCTCCCAAGAGATTGCCACTTATCACTGAAGATGGATAAGCTTCTCTGAAGAGATTGCCACTTATCGCTGAAGACGGATAAGCTTCTCCCAAGAGATTGCCACTTATCACTGAAGATGGATAAGCTTCTCTGAAGAGATTGCCACTTATCGCTGAAGATGGATAAGCTTCTCTGAAGAGATTGCCACTTATCACTGAAGATGGATAAGCTTCTCTGAAGAGATTGCCACTTATCGCTGAAGACGGATAAGCTTCTCCCAAGAGATTGCCACTTATCACTGAAGATGGATAAGCTTCTCTGAAGAGATTGCCACTTATCGCTGAAGATGGATAAGCTTCTCTGAAGAGATTGCCACTTATCGCTGAAGATGGATAAGCTTCTCTGAAGAGATTGCCACTTATCACTGAAGATGGATAAGCTTCTCTGAAGAGATTGCCACTTATCGCTGAAGACGGATAAGCTTCTCCCAAGAGATTGCCACTTATCACTGAAGATGGATAAGCTTCTCTGAAGAGATTGCCACTTATCGCTGAAGATGGATAAGCTTCTCTGAAGAGATTGCCACTTATCACTGAAGATGGATAAGCTTCTCTGAAGAGATTGCCACTTATCACTGAAGATGGATAAGCTTCTCTGAAGAGATTGCCACTTATCGCTGAAGATGGATAAGCTTCTCTGAAGAGATTGCCACTTATCACTGAAGATGGATAAGCTTCTCCCAAGAGATTTCCACTTATCGCTGATGAAGGATAAGCTTCTCTGAAGAGATTGCCACTTATCTTTGAAGTCTGCTGGAGATAACTCACTGGGGAACGCCCATGAATTTATTGGAGATGCCCCTGGCTGGGCTGAGTGTTGATCTGAAGATCTTGATTAACCACGAGGTTGAAATACATCATGGATACACCCATGGTCTTGAAAAGGTGCCCCTGACTAGGCTGACTTTTGCTTTGATATGCTTGAATTTCGTGAGAGGACGCTCGGCTTTGCAGATAATGCCCCTGACTGGGCTACTGATTGCGTTGAAGCTCTTGAACTTTGCCCAACAAAAGTTGCACAACTTCGTGGGGAACACCCACAGTCTTGAATGACATGCCCCTGACTGGGCTGATGGTTGCTTTGAAGCTCCTGAATTTGTCCAACAAAAAAGTTGCACATCCTCGTGGGGAACGCCCACGGTCTTGCGGAGAATGCCCCTGACTGGGCTGATTATGATCTTGATACCCTCTGACTCTCGTGGGAGAAAACCACGATCTTGCAAGGTATTCCCCTGACTGGGTTGATGATGATCTTGGAAATCTTCAAAATTGATCCTGGATCTGAACTCGCATATGCGAATGCTTGATGATGTTCTATAAATGGAAATGCAAATGCTAA